ATAAATCAGAGTTTTTGCAAAAGAAAGATGGCGGAGGCCAGTTTCAATGCCAACAACAAACTCCTTAGATCTAATTACCTACCCTGAACTGATTGTTTATTAAAATGTACACGGAAGACATTTTAATATGTAAACCCTGCCTTGTTCACTTCAGGAGATGGTGCAGAAAATATGTGGTTATCTCAGAATCGAACAATTGTGTGACTAAATACATTTCAAAAATTGGGCAAAACACTCGTTATCCCTTCTCAGCATGATATTGCACCCTGCATTATTATTTTGTTGTTTCTCAAATGGAGGTATTCTGATGTATTCTTGGAGCTCTCAAGTTTTAACTACACCCAATTATTTACTGTGATTTTTATAATAATATGCAAAATACTTTACCAGTGAGAACACAAAATTTAATTTTTGTTGTGATGATTCACAACTAAAGGGCATTTCATAGAAAAGACTATGTACTAAGGTGATGCTTTTCACATTGGAGTCTATGATGGCCAGGGATCCACAGCTTTATTCTTAGCATCTGTGATCATTTTTTTCCCTTAAAAGGGATTTTTGCATTTCTCAGGTTTGCAAAATATTGCTCAAGTTTAAGTCTAGTTTGGACAGAAGAATATTTACTTGCAAGCCGAAGCCGCCTGTGCTTTATGTAAAAGGCCTTTTAAAAAATCCTCAGGACAGTGGTCCCACTGGAGAATACCCAAAATACAGCCGGTCTCCTTCTTCCACAGGGAACTACATGCACTGCAGATGTCACACCCAGGAACACCTGGACCACACATTCCACACTCCCTTGGAGTTGTCCCATAGTCCCTTGGGGAAGAAAGGAAATGCTACAATTAGAGAAATCGTGAGCTAGAAGGGACTGGCTCAAGCCCTTCTGTCCCCCCTGGTAGGGCTCCTAACTCACATGGGAGAGTTGCAGCCATTCAGCAGCAATGAACGTGGCCAGTCCATTATACCTCGCGTGGTCAGTGGTTTCAGCAAGAAATCGTGAGGTAGACCTTCTTGTCTCACTTTGACTTCGGCCCAGCACCCTGGAGGACGTATTTAAACTCCCTACTAGTTCTCACAGATCTTGCCAGCTCAGGAGATCAGGAAAGGGCCCAGGGGAATTACTGCTCTAGTAAAATGAAAAGTACGTTGCGGGGTGGCAGGGAGAGACTGGCTGGTTAGTTCAGTTAGTTATAGGGTGGTACTGATAACACCAAAGTCCATGATTTGATCCTGATACCAGCCAGCCGCCAAAAATTCTTTTTAAAAAGTAGGCGGGGGAGACACTTGCCACCTTGTGTATCTTTTGCAAGTAACATTTTTGTTTCTCTTTAAAGCTCAAGTTTTGGGGCTTCAGGCTGGAGAACACAGGAGATATATATTCCGCCTGGGAGTGTGGATGGGGGTGGCCTGTGTGCTTATCCCAGTCTTTGTTATAAGGCTGCGCTCTACCCAGCTGAACTAATTGACCAGCCCTTCATTCCAGTCTTTGATGATGAGTCTGGGATGGATCCATTTGTGTCCCGTTGCAGCTGAAGTCCTTGGAAGACAGAGCAATAGTTTGTATGTGGGGGTGGTAATAAATACTTGCCCAGCCTCCCTCTTGTGAGAAGTAAATGAAATTAAACATGAGAGAACTTTGAAAACTATTAAAGGCTATGTGACTGGGAGCTGTTGATCACAATGAAATGACAGGTGCATGGTTTAAAGGAAAGCCATGGTTTTATTGTTAGAAGACCTGGGCCAGGGTCTCAGTTCACTCACTCACTAACTGCGACCTCAGACAAGTCTTTTCATCTTTCAGAGCTTATTTTGTTGTTTTTTTCCTTGTTTGCAGGGGGCACTCTACTTGTGAGAATGGGAATAGTCTTTACCTTACCTCCCTCACAGGGTTGTGATCACATCAAGTTAGAAAACATAAGAAAATCCTTTGTGAACTGTAAAGAGACTGTTCTTGGACAGGACAGCTTTAGTTTTCAGATCTTTCCATAGCCAAGGTACCAACCACCTTAAATCGATCCCACAGACATCTCAAGCATGACACGTCCAAATAACAATAACTCATTATCTTTCTCCCCAAACCTGCTCCTTCCCTGGGTTCTTGGCATCATTGTGGTTGAGGGAGCATTTAAGAAGTATATGCACTGTTCCCCAACAACTGTCAAATTGGGGTGATACAGGAGCCAAAGACCAAGGGCCACTGTTGTTCAGATTGTGCATGCTTTTAACCTACCCAAGCTTAATAACTGCAGCATCTCCTGCTTCTCTATAGTAAGTAGCAGTGAAAGAAACCATGCATAGGCCTAGGTTGCTTTATCAGGGAGTCTTTGCCGTTTTTTTTTCTTCCATGCAGGGGGTCCCAAGGACTTATTTTCCTTTCTTTTAGTAGCCAACATCACCTATTCCATTACTTTACAGGTTCTCTGCTTCCTAGGAAGAAATATGGGCCCCCCAACAATCAGCCTTCCTACAATCCCCCCGCCCCCTTTTTTTAGCTGCTGACCTAGGTGTTATCAGCACCATGCTTTCCCAAGTGAGCTAACTGGCCATCCCTACTATCCCTTAAAACAAGAATATATACACCCTTTCAATGTGGAGGAGTTTTACTGTTCATCACTATGGGGAAATAGATGAGGGATAAACTAAACAACAAAAAATTGAGGAAGTTACAAAGCTGACAAAGTTTTCATGTTACTGAGCCCTCCTCTAGTTCCTAACTGACTCTGAGGTAGTAAATGAAAATCCCTTTGGCTCATGTTCTCAGCTTTTATTCCTGGAAGTTTTACTTCTCAACCAGCAACCTCCCCCCCCCACCCTCCCTTCCCCTGGGTTTTGGGCTCTCTGTGGGGAAGTAACTGTGTTTGAGTTCTTCTTAGTATTCTCAGTGCTAAGCACAGAGCCTGGCACATGAGGACTAACATATATTGAGCACTTGCTATGTGCCAAGCGCTATATGAGGCTTTGCATGGATTATAATAAGCCTTTATATCTCAGATGATCCTTTGAGTTTTTTTGTTTGGCAGCTGGCCAGTACCGGGATCCAAACCGGTAACCTTGGTGTTATAAGGCTGCATTCTAACCGATAAGCAACCTTGACTTTTTTTTTTTTTTTTTTTTTTGGTGGTTGGCCGGTGTGGGGATCTGAACTCTTGACTTTAGTGCTGTAACATCATACTCTAACCAACTGAGCTAATTGGCCAGCCCCTCAGATAGTTCTTTGAAGTGGTCACTATTACATCCCCATTTTAGAAAAAGGGAAAGTGAGGCACAAAGAGGTGAATAAGGATACACAGCTTTAGTGGCAGGGCTGGGATTTAATCCCAGGCAGTCTGACTCCAGAGCTCATACTCTTAACCTCTATGCTGGAGATGTTTAAATATTTGCTGAATGTATTAAATGAACTCTTTTTCCTACCTCCTACTCCATGACACCTTTTTCCTCGTTTCTCTATTAAGGACCCTTCTTCATTTCCCTGTCCTCTGCATTCTAGCCCAAACTCAAAGTTGTTAACTATTTCTTGCATTTTACAATAGCCCGGTAACTGTTCTTCCTTGGACATGTGGTTTTTAATCTTCTTTTGAGTCTCAGAGGCTGTCAAGAAATTGATTGGTGAAAACTATGGATATCTACCCAGATTAACATCCACATACATAAAAATTTCATGTAAATGCTGGGGGTGAGAGTTAGGGGGAGGAGCACTCATCACCTTCAGTCCATCCATGAACCCTCAGGTTTGCTTCCCATTGCTTGGAGGTGTTGATGGGAGTGTGAAAGTTGAAACTCTAAACTTTTTTTTTTTTTGGCGGCTGGCCAAGTAAGGAGATCTGAACCCATGACGTTGGGGTCATAAGGCTATGCTTCAAGTAACTGAGCTAACTGGCCAGTCCCTTCTGCAATATTTACCAGGCAATTTTACCTTTCTAGCTCATTTCCAATTGCACACCGTAAGTTTAGGGTTTAAGCAAACAGGAAAATACCTGAAACTTTACCTCTCAGAAGTCTTGACACCCCAAACCTCCCTTCCCTCTTTAAGAAATGGAATGACTCCCTCACCTGTATGCTCGTAACACTGTTTATATCTATAACAGCATTTAACATGTTCTTAGTTGTTAAGGAGCCTGTCTCTCTTGAGTCACTGTTTGCTCCTACAGAGTAGGGATGTTATATCACTCATCATTGTATTCCCAGTATTCCAGAACATGCATGACACTTGTGCATGACACAAGGTTTACTAAACTCGTTTTCAGGTAGCTCGGCTCTCATTCTGAAACAAGGAAGTTCACTATAAGTTTGGAGGTTAACACGCTTAGGATATAGCTGAGCGATCAATGTCCTGCTCGGTGCGGAGGCGAAAGAGGTGTCAGCCACAGAGAAAGTGAGATTGCAACCAGGCTTTGAGAGTGGGGGCGATTTACATTGCTGGCGCGCAGACCGCATGAGTAACACTCACGCAACTAGATGTAAGTTTCAGGGTCACGAGGAAGGAGCCGCGCGCTGCATGCCAGGAGCCACACGACTGGCAGCCGCACTGCATGCTGGGATTTGTAGTCCCGCCCCTTGCCGTTTCTCTCGGTCCAATTACGTTCGGCTACACGCAACCACATCCTTACAGATGAGGTGGAGTCTTTGGTCGTCCACCACAGAACAACGAGGTTCTCCAGAGCAAATCTACCTAACAGCACTCTTCACAGCAAACCCCCTCTCGGCGATGGCTACCCAGAAAATGCATTAGGTGCGGCTGCGCCTGCGCAACGCTGTCGTCCCTGCGTGCACGCGCGGGGCCGCGCCCCCGGAAGCGCCTGCACAGCGCGCGCGCGCGCGGCGTTCCCGCGAGGCCGCCTGGAGCCGGGTGGCGCAGGCGCAGTGTCCCCGGCCAAGATGGCTGGATAGAGTAGCGGATCTGCCTGGCCCCGGCCCCCGCAACGCTGTCGTCCCTGCGTGCACGCGCGGGGCCGCGCCCCCGGAAGCGCCTGCACAGCGCGCGCGCGCGCGGCGTTCCCGCGAGGCCGCCTGGAGCCGGGTGGCGCAGGCGCAGTGTCCCCGGCCAAGATGGCGGCGCGGTGTTCCACACGCTGGTTTCTGGTGGCTGTGGGGACCCCCCGGCTGCCGGCTGCAGCGGGGAGAGGGGCCCGGCCGCCCGGGAGGTGCGTGGTGGGGGCGTCGCTGGGCCACAAACTGAGCGTCGCCTCCTTCGCGCCTTCCCTGGGCTCTCGCGGTCCCCGGGCGCTGCTGACATTGAGACCCGGTGTCAGCCTCACAGGTGAGGGCTGGCTTCTGCGCCGAAGTGGCGGCTCCAGGGCCTAGAAAGGAGCGGCTCTCTTCGCTCCGGTTGCGGGGTAGCAGGGTGGAGGGTGTCTTCCGAGCCGGGTGTGCAGCTGCTGAGGAGACAGGTAGGCAGGAGGCAGAGGGCCTGGGTGGTCACTAAGAAGCCACCAGGGAAGGGAGAGCTGCGTGGAGCCCCCGGCTGCCGTGCTGAGACGCCGCGTAGGCCGTGAACCTTCACCTCTCTGTCAACATTTCTGGAGGCCGCTGCTCCCTTGCCCTGTTCCTTTCCCTTCTCTTTACCTGCTTGCCTGTAGCGGAAGGGAAGAGGTAACTGCTATCCAGTGAGTGCTAGGCACTTTCTGCTTCGTCTCACTCGGTGGTAACAACCCTGCAAGACGCGGATCCTCATCCCCATTTTAAAGAATGGGAAATTGAGGCTGTGGACGGAGGAATTGACCCGCTCAAGGTCGTAAAATTAGATAAGAAGAGTTGTCTCAAATCCAGAGCTGTCATTTCATAGCTTATGCCCTTTCCACCACATGGTGTAAATTGAAGGGTACAGTTAACAGTCTTTTTTAGAAGTCTTTAAATCGGTGATTGTAGTAATAACACAACCTAACACATATTGAGCACTTACTATGTCCCAGGCATGGTTTAACTCCTTACATCACATTCCCACGGATAGACACTGTTATCATTCCATTTTATAAAGAAACTGAGGCTTAGATGTTAAACAACTTGTAGAATGTCACAAAGCTGAAAAGTGGTAGAGCCTTGATTTGAAACCTGTCTTCTTAATTGCCAGAGGTGATACTGAATTAATATGCATTAAGCTTTGAAGTGCTTAGCCATAGTGTTTTCTTATGTTGGATGACTCCCATTTTAGGGAAGGATCAGGAAGGAAGGAAACACTGTACAGCCTACCACGTGCCTGAATTGTGCTAGTTGTTTTGTGTCCGCTAGCATTTGGGCAAATGATATTTAAACTGTCTATAAATTTATAAAGAAGATTAATTAAGGGGCCTAATTTACATGAGGTAATTTACTATTATGGTTCATTTTTGTAATGCTTACATAATAGTCAGTCATTAAAGTACCAGTAATTGTGATTACTTTCTGCAGTGTAAAGAAAAGACCCTGGGCTTCAAAGGTGCCTCCACCAGTGTGTGTGACCTGGATGTAATTATTTAATCCCCTTGAGCCCCTCTTTCCTTAACCGTGAACATTCATTCATTCTCAGGTAGTTATTGAGGCCTGTCATATGCTAGTCACCATTCTAGGCATTGGGGAGATAGCAGAGAACACAGAGATCTATATTCTTCATGGATGGAGCGGCAGTCTGTTCAGTAGTCTGTCCAGGTTTCCTTAGGATTCTTCAGAGAGATGTCATTCTGTACTTCTCAATATGAGCAAAAGTGGCCATGTAATGTCAAGGTGGTTTTACATAGAATTGGGTTGCATCTTTTTAAAAATTTTTTTTGGCAGCTGGCCAGCACAGAGATCGAACCCTGGACCTTGGTGTTATCAGCATCATACTCTAACTGAGCATGGCTGCATTATCTTGTTCAAAATTTAATTCCTTAGGTGACTCGCTTTATTTATTTATTTATTTAAAAGATGACCAGTAAGGGCATCTTAACCCTTGAATTGGTGTGGTCAGCACCACGCTCTCCCAAGTGAGCCAACCAGCCATCCCTATACAGGGATCTGAACCCGTGGCCTTGGTGTTATCAGTACTACACTCTCCCAAGTGAGCCATGGGCCGGCCCTGTGACTTGTTTTATTAAGCTAAATTTGTCATGTTACATCTGTACAAGTTTGGGGAGCATTTTTTATTATCGTGTCTGTGTGTGTGCAACAGAGACAGGACAAAGTACTAAGCCTTGTGTGGGCAGGCGTGACTAAGGAATAACAGTCAGCTATCCTTTTCCCCAAGTGGCTCTAATAGCCTGCGGTGCACATGTTTTGTATCAGGTGATGTACATATGTCATAGGTGGCATCCTTCAGGGTACACCTTGTTATCACAACTAAGATCATCAACTCAGCTCCCAAATGTTAGTTTCAAATCTAGTAGTACAATTAGATGACATAAAAACAACACTTTATTATTTATTTTTTTGGTGGCTGGCTGGTACAGGAAAACAACACTTTATTTTTTTTTAGAAGATGACGAGTAAGAGAATCTTAACCCTTGACTTGCTGTTGTTAGCACCACGCTCTCCCAAATGAGCTAACCGGCCATCCCTATATAGGGATCCAAACCCGTGGCCTTGTTGTTATCAGCACCACACTCTCCCAAGTGAGCTACGGACAGGCCCTAGAAAACAACATTTTAAGTCTGACTTTTCCTCCAAGCAGAAAGAAGGCAGTTGTTTTACAGTACGTTAGCCATTCTTGGAATGAGTTGGAGGCTAATCCTATCTGGCTTGTTCTAAAAAGGGCAAGACATTTACTGGTCATGTCTTGGGGGGAAAATGGCCATTTAACGAACTCTTTCTAATTATTACTAATCATTGGTGCCTTTTGGATAATGTCAAAAGTCATGAAAACTTGTAATAGTTAAATATGATTTGTCTTTATTCACATGAAGTTTTACACATTACTGTCTCCCATTCTAATTCACATCCAGGTTCTTTGCTCACGATGTTGAAGCCTTAGCTTCCAAAGGCTTTGCCGCTATCAGTCTCAGCCTTCTGGCATAGGAAGGAGTGGGGAGGGAGAGGCTGTAATGGGCTCGGGTTCCCAACTCCTGAGTAAAGAGGGGGTTCAGTACAGGAGCACTAGGAAACCATTTCTAGCATCTTCTCAAGTCTAATGAAGAAACATGTAATAGTGGTTGGTCTTCTGACCCCTACTACTTCCACAGTCTGCTTTTCGTATTCTAGGAGCATTGGGTATACTGAAGACAGATTTACTTCCTGTTTCTGCTCTTAATCATTCTGACCATTCCTGTTCATTCTCCAGTCTGATTATCCCTCATCTTTCCCCTATCCTGGATATGCTCAACACCTCTGGTGGTTTTTTGTGCTCCAGTTAATTTTGTTTTGACAGCTGGCCAGTACGGGGATCTGAACCCATGACTTTGGTGTTTGTTACTAGCACTACCATTCTCTCCCAAGTGAGCAAATTGGTCAGCCCCAATTAACTTTAAGTAGTCTCCCAGTCCTCCTTCCGAGAGCTCTTTTTCTTGCAAACTGTTATCAATTCCCTGTTTAACACTCAGCCTCCGTAGCATAGCTCTAAGGCCCTTCTACTTATCCCCAAACCTCATTAATCATCATCGTCATTTAACCACCTCTCTTCCAATACTACCACCACACAGACACATACACAGTCTCTAGCTGAGTTACATGATAGTATCTGCAGTTCCTAAATGTACAAGGTCCTTACTGTTTACTTTCATTTGAACCCTTCCAAACCAAAGGCCATCATATAATTTAGTGGCCAAACAGGCCACTTTTTTTTTTTTTTTTTTTTTTTAACCCCCCCCAAAAAAAAGGCCCCAAAAAATTTTTGGGGGAAAAAAGGCCCTTTTTTTTTTTTTTTTTTTTTAACCCCCCCCAAAAAAAAGGCCCCAAAAAATTTTTGGGGGAAAAAAGGCCCTTTTTTTTTTTTTTTTTTTTTAACCCCCCCCAAAAAAAAGGCCCCAAAAAATTTTTGGGGGAAAAAAGGCCCTTTTTTTTTTTTTTTTTTTTTAACCCCCCCCAAAAAAAAGGCCCCAAAAAATTTTTGGGGGAAAAAAGGCCCTTTTTTTTTTTTTTTTTTTTTAACCCCCCCCAAAAAAAAGGCCCCAAAAAATTTTTGGGGGAAAAAAGGCCCTTTTTTTTTTTTTTTTTTTTTAAAGATGACCGGTAAGGGGATCTTAACCCTTGACTTGGTGGTGTCAGCACCACGCTCTCCAAGTGAGCTAACCGGCCATCCCCTATAGGGATCCGAACCCGTGGCCTTGATGTTATTAGCACCACACTCTCCCAAGTGAGCCATAGGGCGGCCCTAAAACAGGCCACTTTTGAAAATGAAAGAGGTTGCTGTCACAAATTATACCAGGATCACAGGTATAAATCTGGGTGGATTCAAACCTCTCCCTAGCCTAGCTAGTTTATATAATTTAACAGCAGGTGCCCTAGAAGGCCTTACTTGAACTTAGATTGCTAGTGGTTCTCAGCTGGGGGGAGTTTTACCCACTAGGAAACATTTGGCAATGTTTAGAGACATTGGTTTTGGTTGTCAACTGCAGGAGATGGGGGGTGTTGCTATTATCCTCTAGTGGCTGGGGGCCCCTAGACTTTGATTGATGTCTGGGGTGGGGCTTGGAAATTTGCATGTTCAACAAGCTAATGATACTGCTGATCCAGGGATCATATTCTGAGAACTACCTTATATAAGCATGTCCCCCAGGGTTTTCTGATAGAGGGGAAAGAACGTGGAGAATTAAGCATTAAGTGAGAGAAGCATATGAAAAACCTAGCATGAGGTTTTGTGAGAGAGGGAGCTAAAGCCCAGATGTAGCCCCCCTATCTGGGGTATTATTCTTTTAGTGGTGTAGTGAGACTATGCCAGTAGTGTGATTCAGCAGAATCAGCAACACCCAGCACTCCGACATTGTTTTATATTGTTTGAATACAGTGGCGTTAGCCATTTTTGAAGTGCAGTGAGTTTGGTCTTCAGTGGGCTTGGAGGGGAACAGACCCCAAAGCTGTGTGGCCTGTTTGTTCCTTCACTGGTATATTCTGGCTGGTCGTTTACTCACAATTTCTTTTGTTGAGAACATTCCCAGAGTGATTTTCTTTCTTTTTTTCCTTTTTAGGAGCAAAATGTTACCCTTTTGTTTGTACTGCCTCCTTCCACACGAGCACCCCTTTGGCCAAAGAAGATTATTACCAGATACTAGGAGTTCCCCGAAATGCCAGCCAGAAAGAGATCAAGAAAGCCTATTACCAGGTCTGTATGAAAGTCAGATTTTAGTGACAAGATTGCAGAAATGCTATTGATCTAGTTTCATCCTGATCAGTACACTGTATATGCCCATACTGATAGGTTGCACATGGCTGATAGTATAGAATGGTATGATAGAGATGGGCTTTGCTGGACTGTGGTCTTCTGTGCACAGTGTTATAGCAGTTAATGCTTCAGAAAAAGAGGAGATTCCAAACCAAAGATTTTAATAAGTCCTTTTTCCAGAACTATTTTTGTAATTAAATTTATTCTATACCATCTCATTCAGTAAGTATGCTAGTCTGAGTTTTAGGTTGTTGTCATTTGATTTAGATAAAAGTTTATGGGTTTAGAATTATTTCCTTTCTTAACCCAGAAAATGTGAAATTCCCGTTGTCATATCCCAGAATGTGTTAGGGCTAATTAAAGTAGTATGTGTGATGTCTAGACCATTGGTTCCCAGACTCTTGGTTTGCTCTGACCAATAAAATAAAAATTGGGGGCACCAATGTAGAATTGACAGCTTTTTTTAAGTGCATAATTCACTGGTTTCTAGTATTTTCAGAGTTATGCAACCATCACCACAGTCAATTTTAGGTCATTTTTATCACTTCAAAAAGAAACTTCTTACCCATTAGCACTAACTACCCATTCTCCTCTCCCTGCAGTCTCTGTCAATTGCTTATCTGCCTTCTGTCTCCATGGATGGACCTGTTCTGAACATCTCATATCAGTGGAATCATACAATTTGTGGCCTTTTGTGTCTGGCTTCTTTTACTCAGCATAGTGTTTTCCATTTCAGTCACGTTGTAGCGTGTGTCAGTATTTCATTACTTTTTATGGTCGAGTAATATCCCATTGTATGGATAGACCACATTTTGTTTATCCATTTACCATTTGATGGACTGTGGATTACTTCTACCTTTAGGCTATTATGAGCATTGCTGCTATAAAATTTCATATATGGGGCTGCCTGGCTAACGGCCAAAACCAAAATTAATGTATGTTAAGTTTTTGTGTAGACATATGTTTTCATTTCTCTTGTGTATATACGTATACCTGGGAGGGTAGTTGCTGGGTCATATGGTAACTGGATGTTTAACCTTTTGAGTAATTGCCAGCCTTTTTCAAAGTGGCTGCACTATTTTACATTCTCGTCAGCAGTGTATGAGGGTTGGAATTTCTCCACATCCTGGCCAACACTTGTTATTATCTGTCTTTGTAATTATAGTCACCTTAGTGGGTGTAAAGTGGTATCTCATTGTGGTTTTGATTTGATTTTCCCTAGTGACTGATGATGGTGAGCATCTTTCATGTGCTTGTTGGCTTCTTTGGAGAAATGTGTTTTCAGATCCTTTGCCCATTTTTAATTGGGTTGTCTTTTTATAATTGGGCTATAATAGAACGAGCAAAAGCAATGGGACAGGAAGCAGAGGTCCTGGCCTGGGAATAGTGACTGGCATGTCTCATTGTGAGCTCAAGAGTAGGGAACCTGATGCGACGGTGGGAGAAGATGGAAAAGATCGTGGCTGGGCCAAATTCTTGCAACAGTTGAGGGCCTTAGCAAGTACTAGAGACTTAATTAAAGAGAAAGACTTAGTTTTGGGGATTATTCAAGTTTTTAGGTGTGGAAGTAAAAGATCAAGTAAAGCTCAGCAATTTGAAACCAGAAAAAATTTTTTTCTTTTTTTGGTGGCCGGTTGAAGTGGGGTCTGCAGAAATTTTTTAAAGTATCCTTTATGGAGCAGTTATGAGAATCAGACCGTGATCAAAGCGTGACAAAGACATGTTACGTTATTTAATCCTTGTGGCAGCTTCATGGTGTTAACATCCCTGTTTAACTGATAAGGAAACTGAGGCTCGGAGAGATTATGACATAGGAGCAACTCCACAAGCCAATGTGTGTCAGACACGAGGTGAAATTCTAGGTCTTTCTGACTGCAGAAGAACTCCCTTTTCCATGAGCATACCAACACATCTTTCCTTAACACTTGGAACCAGCCAGTAGATCACATGATGGTGGAGCCTTGTGGCCCACTGTGGTGTATCAGTCATGTCCTAGGATCCCCACCCCCCAACCCCTGGGCTCAGCAGGCAGCCTCTGGACTGCTTCTGTGTGCTTGTGGGAGGAAGAGCATGTCCACACGCAGGTTAAGTTTGGAGGGACTAGTGGGTCTCTGCCCCTGCCTTTTCCATCTGTGGCTGTTTTCACTTTAAATGATGGAGCTTCTTCTAGTGCTGCTCTGTTCTTGTCTCCCTAACTTTGGGGAGTGGGTGGGTGTTTCTGGCAACTTCTGGCAGCATTTTCATTCCTCCAGAAAACCAAAGTTGGGTGGCATGTAACCAAGTTTTTTCTTTTTTTTTTGCAAGTTTAGTGACTTTCTTTTGCTAGTGTGGAAGATTGAGAGTTAGCTGTTAATCTTGATTCTTAGCATAAAGAAAAACTCTATAGGGTCATGATATCTAGTCTCAATTATTTGCTAGGCTGTTTTGTAGAAGAGGAATTAAAGTTACCTGTATACCACCAGAAACAGAGACAGTTAGGCTCACTCAAATGAAGAGCTTTCTAAGAACAAGGCTGTCAGTCAGGACACCCTCTGCTTTGGGTGGTAATGAGTTCCACGTCACTGGAAATAATCCTGTGGCGGTTCTCAAACTTGGGGAATGTGCTTACCCCCTTTTAAACTGTCACCTCTTGCAGAGTGATGGAGATGCAAAAGATTACTCAGAGCCCATGTGTTCAGCAATGAGAAGCCCAAAGGGACTACACCGAGGGAAAACTCCTTCAAGAGAGGAGAGCCTGGGCACAGCCCCGAGTCAGTTTTTGCTTCAGTTTTTATTATAAAGACAAGAAAGTTACAGAAGAAAAACAGGTGGTTAATCAATCCCAGTGAAAACATAAACAAACTGGCTATGTGACAATCTTCATTAAAACAGGTGTAACTTGGGGCCGGCCTGGTGGCGCACTGCTACAGTGCGCCGCTTGGGAGCGTGGCAGTGCTCCCGCCGAGGGTTCGGATCCCACATACAGACCGGCCGCTCACTGGCTGAGCGAGGTGCGGGTGCAACACCGAGGGTTGCGATCCCATTGCCGGTCCCAGTCCGGTATGGGCGCGACACTGAGGGTTGCGATCCGTTGCCGGTCACGAAAAAAGAAAAAAAAAAAAAACAGGTGTAACTTAAAGTAATTTACCATCAAGAGGAGTCATAAAACTAATCTGTGTGACGTACAAAAAGAAACAATGATATAATCACCAAAGTGCGTAACTCCCCAAGAAACTCAAAGAAACAGTTTAGGGAAAGATGTGGAACGTCCCCCAAGCACTAACTAGCAGAATATTCTTGAAGATTTTAGCTCACATACTTTCCCTTCATTTATGTTTAGCTGCACCAAGGGCAACTGCCCTCAGAGCAATCACTTTTCTTTTCTTTTTTCTTTTTTTTTTTTTTTTTTTAAAGATGACTGGTAAGGGGATCTTAACCCTTGGCTTAACCCAGCACCACACTCAGCCAGGGAGCCAACCGGCCATCCCTATATAGGATCCGAACCCATGGCCTTGGTGTTATCAGCACTGCACTCTCCCGAGTGAGCCACAGACTGGCCCTAGAACAGTCACTTTTCGCTGTGCTTCAGTTCTCTTATCTACATCAAAGGCATAAGTCCTGTGAGAGTTTTCTGGACTTTCTTAATTTTAGCATTTCTACGTGTTTTCCTAAAGGGTTGGGCTTTGGCCCCCTAAGCTAGAGGCTCTGGCCTCTGAAGCTACAGGACTTTGGTCCTCTAAACTATAGGCTTTGTCCTTCTAAGCTACAGGCTTTGGTCGAGTCTAAGGACTTTGGTCCTCTAAATTACAGGCTTTGGCCTTCTACATTACAGGCTAAACTAAGGACTTTGGTCCTGTGAAATACATGTGTTTTATTGCTGTCTCATTAATGTCAATATCCTCCACATTAAATAACAATTTCATGTAATAGATAATGTTGGTTGTCTAAAATCAGGTTGTTCTTATCATAATTACTGTACCTGTGTCCCCAACACGGGACTTTGGAGTTGGTCCCATCCAAACAGCCCTGTGATATCTCAGTTCACCTAGTACTTTCTTGAATTTCAGTTCCTTTGAATCCTTAATTTGCACTCTGAGCCATGACATCATTTTTTCTTTGCTTGGCACAAATGTATTATTTATGGGTGATGTCTCTTCATTCTTTTCACATAAGCCACACACACAGTGGCTTATGTGCAAACTCTGAAGTTGCCTGCAGTGCTGTACTGTAATGTGGCCATTCTGATGACTTGGAGTATACTGACATCAATATGTTTTAGCATATTATTGAAATTTTCCAATTCCTATTAGAACTTCCTAGATGCCTTACCTCCCAAATATGTCCTTATGCTCCCTATTATATTCTCATAATAATGTTGAATGTTACTGTGTGCCACACCCTGTGCTCACTTTTTTTTATGTGTTACTTCATTTTGACCTTGCCACAACCCTGTGAAGTAGCTACCATTATTATTGCCATTTTACAGATGAGAAAACTGTAGCTTAGAGAAGTAAGTAAGGTGCCCAAGGTCTCCAGGTTAGCACATGACGGATCTGGGTATTCAGACCTCACCCTTAGCCTAACTGCAGCTGAGGTAGACAGCCAGGTACTGGCAGTGATGGAGCCAGACGGCTGCCTGGGTCACTTCCAGCTTGAGGATTCTGGCAATCCACAGACTGGGAAGGTGCCAGTAGCCAGAATAAACATAGCGAGCGCCCATAAGGCACACAGCACAGCCTGCTGCTTTAGAGCTGCTTGGCACACATGTGTGCTCTACACAGTGGAGTGAGTTTTTATTTGACTTTATTGTTTTTGGTGGGTGGACAGTTTTTTCATTTCTTTAATATTTGTTATTTTTATTTTATTTCATTTTTTAAAATTGGAATATGACTATATTTCTTTATTAGGATGCTCACAAGAATGAATGACACATTAGCGCTCTCAAGTGATAAAGAATCCATGTGACTCACATTATGTCAGGAAACCAGGGGTATGGGCTCTTAGAGCCGGTGCCAAGTGTCCAGTGAAGAAATCCCCATTCACCAAAGAGAAGTTTCCTTGGATTTCATCACCTCTGTTCTAGCTTCCATCCAGGTCTCCATGATCTTCCCAGAATCTGTAATTCCAGCACCAGTTCACCCTCTTTGCCCCTGCCACTCTTGAAGCGCAAGTAAACTGCCCCATGTCCCACTCATCCTGGCCACCTCTGGAATCCTGCAGCTCATCTCTGGTATGCTGATGCCCTGCCACCCTCGGGCAAAGTCGGGGGTAGGAGGGAGAACATAACATCCTATTACCAAAAGCAAACAGCAGGGGTACATTAGCAAATGACCTTGGACGTAAAACGTCCTCACAGACACATGCTTCCTCCCCAAATGATACATAATCCCTTAGAGAACAAAGGAAACCCCCCAGTCATTTTGACATGCATGGAAGGATTCTTTTCACCAGGCACAAGGGATACAGGGTGGATGGTGTTTACTTCTGTCACACCCAGCACACATTAGGAAGTTAGCAGATGAAAGCTGGAACCAGATCTCTGTCCTGGCTCAGTCAGGTTTCTTCTGGATCTTCCTGCCTTTGAATGGTGTTGCACTCTGCTTCCATCTGTTGTGGGCATCAGTTCGTTTTTCAAAAGAGAGGATAAAAGGATGGTAGAGAGAGGGTGGAAGTGTGGGGAGAAACAGCCCTGTAAAACAAAACAAAACGAAAGAAAAATACAAAAATCCAGAAACCAGATTTGGTACTATAATATTTTATAACATTAGAAAGTAGCTGAAAATACTACATGCTAACACAGACAATACGATACACAACCTCATGGGGAGAAGTCAGGGGGGATGTGGCAGAGGCTACAGATTTAGACTAAGAGCCTTTCAATGGACTGAATGGACTGGATCTGCTACTTCAGCTGGAAACCTTTTTTGATAGTGACAGAACAGGTGATGACAAGCCTGGAGACCCCACAGGCCTGCTCCAAGGTCTGCTTGGAGTGCATAAGCACGTAGGGCACGTTCTTGTCTCCACACAGCAGCGGGAGGTGCAGAGTGATCTCCAGGGGCCCGGTGTCCACAGCCATCACAATGAACTCAGAGATGCCCCTGTGGAGAGTTCTGGTGGCCTCATTGGCTCCTTTCCAAAGCTGCCTATATTACATGACTGCTGAACGAGGTCCAATAGTGTCTTTGTGAAGTGGGCATCTGCGAGGGGATAGGCCTTCAGATTTACATCAGCCTCAGTCATGGCTGCCGTTCCGTGGGCTCAGTGCTCCTCAAGGAGCACAGCTGAGGTCAGAGCAAGAGCACTCGACACCAACGGAAAGCCACAGAGAAGGAGCCCAGTTTTAAAATACTTAAACATATGTTTTGAATAGGTAATACGTTCCCTTTGTTAAGAATTCAGAAGTACAAAGGTGTACACAGTAAAAAAGTCTTCCTTCCCATTCATCTATGTCCTTCCTGTAGCAACCAGAATTTCCAGTTTATTGTATATGCTTCCAAATTTATACAGCAGATGCATCTATTTATCCAGCCATTTTCTCCCCTTTTTTCATAAATGTTAGTACACCAGACACGCTGTTTTGTATCTTGCTTTCACAAAGGTGCTTGAGCTCTAGAGAATTAGTTATTATTTTTGCTAGAGATTTGTTGTGGTTAAGAAATGTGTACATACATCAGGTTTGAAGAAATGACTTATTTTAAAGTCTTAAATCTTTTTCTCTTTTTTTGTTAATGTCTTAAATCTTTTTTTAAGAATTGCTGTTGGTTGTTGAGTCTTAAGAGACAGTTTTTATAAGGTGGGCATAACTGTGACTGATATTTGGGGTTCTGTTTTAGTAATCATCATGTATCCATAGTAATTTACTGTTTTTCCCCTTAGCTTGCCAAGAAATACCACCCTGACACGAATAAGGATGATCCCAAAGCTAAGGAGAAGTTCTCACAGCTGGCAGAAGCCTATGAGGTAATGTAACTGACATGTGTGCTGTCACTATTGTTCAGCCATGTGCGTGAATCAGTTTGTGTGCTTCACAGGATGGCTTGGCATGTCACACGGTCCAGTGTGAAGGCTGTATCCCTGCACCAGATCACCCTGTAAAAACCAAAAAAGGATTCCCATGCCTCATACTAGGCCTACTGACTTGGAATCTCAGCAAAGAATAGGATCCAATAATCTGCATTAATAAAGCTGCCCAGGTAATTCAGACTTGTAGCCAGGTTTGGGAACTCCTGGTTGGATTAATTAATTTTGGTCTTATTCAATGATCCCCCTACATAGGGTATCCCTACCTGTCAGGATGGTGGATTTCGTAAAAGTAAAAGTCTGTCATTGCCCTGGAAAAATTTAAAATGTAGTCAGAGGACAAAGCATACATCTATGCAATAGTTGTCGACAATTCCAGAGTTATCTGGGACCATCCTGAAGGTGTTCGGGATATTTAGAGCATATATCCACAGGAATAGACAACCACGTAGAAGAGTGGCTTCAACTCAGTAAATATTTATTGAATGGATGTCTTCTCCCCTGTCAACTACAGCTAATGAAAGGTGTGTTTGATAGTGTTATTTTTATTAACATTTTTTTTTGTTTTTGCTGGTGCTTACAGGGATTGAACCCCTGACGTTGGTGTTATCAGCACCACATCCTAACCAATTGAGCTAACAGGCCAGCCTGATAGTGTTATTTCAAATACTGCCATTTTATTACAGTAACTCAAACTAGTTGGTAACAACACTAAAGAGTCTTAGAACCTGATTTTGTGGAAGATAAGATTCCATTTTTTTTTTTTTTTTTTAAAGATGACTGGTAAGGGGATCTTAACCCTTGACTTGGTGTTGTCAGCACCATACTCTCCCAAGTGAGCCACGGGCAGGCTCTTAAGATTCCATTTTTTTTTTTTTTAAAGATGACTGGTAAGGGGATCTTAACCCTTGACTTGGTGTTGTCAGCACCACACTCTCCCAAGTGAGCTACCCAGCCATCCCTATATAGGGATCCGAACCCGTGTCCTTGGTGTTATCAGCACCGCACTCTCCCAAGTGAGCCACGGGCAGGCTCTTAAGATTCCATTTTTAACAAGGGGGGTGTTACTACTTGTGAAGGCATTTTCACACATGGAGAGTTGTACAATTTGTGTTTCCGCCAGGGTGGGGGGTGGGGAGTGCTTGGGAGTCCTGTTCCACTTTCTTGCTGACATCTATCTCTGAGGTGGATGTTATTAAAAGGACAGAGGAACCCAAGAGCAGCAATTCTTCAGGAAGGGCTAGAACCAGGAAATAAAAGCCACCCGGAAGCCAGGGCCTCCTACATTCCTCCTCTCTGCCAACCTTCGTTCTTTGCATCTTAGCTGGTTGCCCGAAAAAGTACCCTAGGCAGTGAGCTGTTCTCTCTCAGTCCCCTTCCATTCTAGGCGAAAATGTCTTTTCCCTTGGAGAAGGAACACTCTTTTCTGTTTGGTCTTTAGGGCAGTGCCTTTTTAATTAAAAACAGAACAAAATAAAAAGGTAAAACAAACACATAAAAGAGATACAAAGTTAATATGTTTTTTCCTGCCTCTCCCTAGTCTCCCTTCCCAAGGTAGTTAGTCCCTATTAACAGTCTTGTGCCAGTACCTGCGTATTTATGTAAGGGTGAGTATGGCCTTCAAAACGTATGTAGCTGATACACTCCCTGTGCTCCTTGTTGGTGCTGTCACTCCTGCCTCTTGTTCCAGCTTCCAGAGGACCTGTTGATGAGGGATAAAGGGTAGAAAGTATAAGCTCTCCACCAGGCAGTGTCTGCAGAGAAGAGAGGTGAAATGTGAATTTGTGAAGTGTCCAGGGTACCTGCAAGGTCATGCAAGGATTAATGCAAGAATTTCCCCAGCAATGGCAAAGGCAGCTCCCGGGAGTTTTCATGAGACTTTTCTAAAGTAGTGCAGGCCTCACACTTCGTCTTCAGTGTGGTCATCTCTCTCCTCTTCTAGGTGCTGAAGTTGCAGTCCCACCCCATCCCAGAGAACCTCATAGGATTGTTTTGCATGCAGGGACCACTGAGTAGATGCTGTGACTGCCTTGCTTGCTGGGAACTCTTATCTGTGTTCCTGGGCCTCGGAGGCCCCAACACACCTGACGGCCCTGCCTTTTGTCGTAGGTGCTGAGTGATGAGGTGAAGAGGAAGCAGTATGATGCCTATGGCTCTGCCGGCTTTGATCCCGGGGCCAGCGGCTCTGGGCAGGGCTACTGGAGGGGGGGCCCCACCGTGGACCCAGAGGAGCTGTTCAGGAAGATCTTCGGGGAGTTCTCATCATCTTCGTTTGGAGATTTCCAGGGCGTGTTTGATCAGCCTCAGGAAGTAAGTGCCTCATTTTGAAAAATCATTCACGTTATAGGCTAAGTGTGACACGAACAGATTTTTACATTTCTGTTTCTTAGAAAGGCAAAGCAACTGAAATGGAATGGTTTAGAGGCAGCCATTTTGTAGAAAATAATTCCAATATTTGAAAAATCCTGTAGGTAATAACGAGTACATCCACCCATCTAACACACATTCGACTGTGTTCTTGACAGTTGCTTGATCAGGTAGCACCTGAGGCTCTCAGAGGCCATTATTCGGGTGTGAGTGTTTTATCCAGAGCCTGCTACATTATTCCAGGAGAGCTCAGTCCAGTAGGGAGATAGAGCCAATCCTCTCTCCATATTTATGCCTTAACAAGGCATTCTCAGTTGAAGAGAGAAGGGAGATGTCTTATGATCTAAGTTATGATTGTGCATCATTCAAGCTGTTTGTAAGTGCCAGGTACAAGTATTATCCATGAAGATTTTTGTTGAAAAGTATATTTTCACTTAATTAATCCATACATTAATCTTATAAATCCCGAGAAGTAGGCAGAATCAGTTGAATTCCACCCTTTCTTACTTGGCAAAGGACAAGTAAGTAGTTAGAAATTAACTAAAAACTGTGGGCCACTGCCCTCCTTTCCTTCTAAAGAGGAGCGTCACTTTGGTCATTGTGAAAGGAAAGATGACAGGTGTCCCTTGGTTTCTCTAGTACATCATGGAGTTAACCTTCAATCAAGCTGCCAAGGGCGTCAACAAGGAGTTCACCGTGAACATCCTGGATACCTGCGAGCGCTGCAATGGCAAGGGGAACGAGCCAGGCACCAAGGTGCAGCATTGCCACTACTGCGGCGGCTCTGGCATGGTAAGGGCGTCAGAGCCCCCCAGTCCCCTCCTCCCCAGCAGCCTCCCACCTCTCACCCACCCATGCCATTCTTTTTTTTTGCTCCTATGGATATCTATGCAGGCTCTCCTAGTGCTTTGAGAGTTCATAACTAGGTGGGACAATTTTACTAAGAACCTTCTGCACTTTTCCAGGAGTGCTCTGTCCTGGTCTACTGTATAGACTGAGTGAGGAAACTATGTTGTCTTCTCTGAAAATGTACTTTAGGATGTTTTGGTAATTTGAAAGTGGGGGGGAAAGACTCAGATATTGCTTGAGGTTTAATTATTTTTTATTTTTCTTTTTGATATAATCCAAACTTATAGAATAGTATAAAGAACTAACTTTCTTATTCCTTTTACTCAGATTCACTAGTATTTAACATTTTGTCCCATTTGCTTTGTCATTTCTGGTGTGCTCCATTCTCTCGCTCTCTCCTCATCTGTGCCTTTGCTGTGTTTGTGTCACACACGCATTCCCTCCCCCTGACATTTGAGAGTAAGTCTCAGACACTGTATCTCTGTTCCTAAGTACTTCAGTGTGTATTTTCTAAGAAGGAAAATATTCTTTTACATAACTACTGTACAGTTGTTTTTTTTAATTTTTATTGAATCAAAATTGATTATACATATTTTGGGGGTTCAACATTGAGATATGTTGATCAAATCAATATTACTAGCATATATATTGTTACAAATTGTAATTATTCTTTATGCCCCTTGTCCAGGAAATTTAACATTGATAAAATACCATTATTGGCATGTATTCAGATTTTTTTCCAGCTGTCTTTATGCCCCCCAGTTCTGAGATCAGGAAGAGGAGATGAGTAACATTTTCTTTATATACCGGCGTATTCTTTGATCTGCCACATCAGGCATGTATTTGCTATTTTTTTTTTTTTTTCCTTTTTGTCTTTTTTTACTGACCGGTAACAGGATTGCAACCCTCGGTGTCGTGTCCGCACCGGGGACTGGCAACGGGATTGCAACCCTCGGTGTTGCGCCCGCACCGCGCTCAGCCAGTGAGCGGGAACCGGTCTCCACATGGGATCCGAACCCTCGGCGGGAGCGCCGCTGCACTCCCAAGCGGCGCACTCTCCAGTGCACCACCGGGCCGGCCCTGTATTTGCTAATTTACCAAAAAAAAAAAATTGAAAGAAGTTAAATAAAATGTTAATTGATTTCTAAATACCAAGAGAGGGTTGGTGGGAATGGCCACAAATCATAAGGATTCACCAGCTCTGCGAGAGGCTGGGAGATGAGGGGCTCCTGAAGAAGGCAGGGGTTAGGTGGGCGGAGACAGAAGGAGACATTCCAGGAACAGCACGGGAGTGAAGATGTGTGAGGGCTCTGTTCCCACTGCCAACTTGAATGTAGTCCCTGTGCATTTGACCCCACACTTGGTCTCTGCCTGGTCTTCCTGTTCATGGCTATTTTCCGCAGAGCAGCCCCCATGGGAGTCTCACCCGCACCCCTTTGAACCACAGCTGTGTTTGGTGCCCTTGACCACTCGCACACCCAGGAGGGACAGTTAGGAGCATTGGGAGCTGGGGGCTGGCAGGGGTAGGCCAGGGCACTGGTGCCTGTGAGAAGAGTAGCTTGTGTCATGCTCCTGGGTACCCTTGCCAGGGGTGAGGGGCGTTGGTGAACTCAGCCCAGCTCTTGCTTCCCCTGTGGCCCTAAGGAGACAGGCCTGTGCTTTTCCTCCCCTGGAGTTGTAGGCTCAGTGAGCAGTGTGACAGCTCAGGGGGAGGGTCTGCATCTAACTGTCACTTCTTTATTTTCCTGTATTTTCCCAACTCTCACCCTTGTAATGAGAGGGGCAATAATCTTGTTTATATGTACTGCTCAGTTCCTAGGGGTTTTCAGGTACTTCTATAGAAAGGCTGTGTCTCATTTTTCAGTCTCTTGGTGATCTGGAGTTAAAATCCGGTGTGTTCTAGCAGGTCAGATTAGCAGTTTGAACCCCTGCTCCTGTCTTCTTAGGCAAGTGTTTTAGCGCATATGCACCTAAAAGGCAAGCCTTTAATGAAACATTTTTCTCATGCTCCTTGCGTTCCCGGAACCACAGCCACCAGTTTACCTGCATACTTAACGCTACCGTTCTTCTTCTCCTTTTCATCAGGAAACCATCAATACGGGCCCTTTTGTGATGCGTTCCACGTGTCGAAGATGTGGTGGCCGAGGCTCCATCATCACAACACCCTGTGTGGTCTGCAGAGGAGCAGGACAGGCCAAGCAGAAGAAGCGAGTGATGATCCCCGTGCCCGCAGGTGGGCTCTCAGGCCCGCTCTGTGCCTGGGGTCGGGGAGGGCTAGGCCGCTGGCTTTGTGTGATCGACCATGGTAGACGCTGTGGTTGAGACCCTTGAGTTCTGCACTGGAGGAGGAACGAGAATCTGCACCAGTTATCCTTAAAATCTGCACTTTGCTTGTCACATTGGGGAGAAGAAACCTGTGCCCACTCTGCTCTTGCTTGGTCAGGGGGCAGCTCCTATCCCACAGTTTCTTCCCTTCTGTCCCTTCTGTCTTCAGTTGATGAGTGACAAGGCCAGCATCGTCCCAGTGCCACCCCAGTCTCTCTGACTCCAACCCCTGGGTAGCACGTGACTGCTCTGTCAACCATTTCTGGTGGCTCGTCCCATAACAGGGCAGCTTGGCCATGGCACTTGCCCTGTTTAAGCCCAGATCTTTCAGTGATTCAGTGGCTAAGAAATTAGTTCCTTTCTTGGCCCCTGTCCCCCTCTCCAGCCTCCCCTCTTGTTAGTCTGTTGCCCTGTTGTTGCCAGCCTGCAGCCTTCCTGACTTTCTTTCAGCTCCTTGAGTGGGCCATGATGCTTCCCAGAACACATTCTCTGCCTCTGCCCTTCCTGTGTAGGAAACTCACTGCCCACCGTCTTTTCCATGGCTGACTGTTCATCTTGGAGATCCTGGCTCGAGTATCATTTCTCTCCTCCCTGCTCTTTTTTATTTATTTATTTATTTATTCATTCATTCATTTATTTATTTCCATGGCTGACTGTTCATCTTGGAGATCCTGGCTCGAGTATCATTTCTCTCCTCCCTGCTCTTTTTTATTTATTTATTTATTTATTCATTCATTCATTTATTTATCTTAAAAGATGACCGGTAAGGGGATCTTAACCCTTGACTTGGTGTTGTCAGCACCACACTCACCCAGTGAGCTAACCACCCATCCCTATATGGAATCTGACCCCACGGCCTTGGCGTTATCAGCACCACACTCTCCCGAGTGAGCCACGGGCCAGCCTTTTCTCCTTGTTCTTTAGAAGTACCTTTCTCTGGAGTTGCCATTTTTTTCTTCTAAGAACATGTCTGTTTGTAATGACACATTTTTTAGCATTGCCATTTGATTCATACCCATTTCTCCTGCTAGACTGCAGACTCCCTGAGGCACTGCGCAGACCAAGCAGGAGGCAGGCGTCCACATCCTTGCATAAGTGTCTCGAAGGTGCTCTTGTTCAGTTATCAGTTGTTGCATGTGGCACCTTTGGAAAGTTATCCTTGGGACGGCCCGGTGGCGCACTTGGTAGAGTGCGGCCGAGGATTCGGATCCCATATAGAGACCGGTCCGCTCACTGGTTGAGCGCGGTGCGGGCGCGACACCGAGGGTTGCGATCCCATTACCGGTCACGAAAAAAGATAAAAAGGAAAAAAAAAAAAAGAAAGTTATCCTTGTTGCTGTTTTGCATAATCACATTGTTTCTCGTTAAGAAACAGGAAGAGCAAAGAAGCCCATGGGGTATAAATGGATGTCAGGTAGAAAATGCCATGGGAGGTCCCACAATAATTGTTTTCTTTTGAACTTTTGTTCTTGTAGGAGTTGAAGATGGCCAAACTGTGCGGATGCCTGTAGGAAAAAGAGAAATTTTCATCACGTTCAGGGTAGGTGCTCTGCCCTGCACAGGGTCTCCTGGGTGCTTGCTGGACTGAGATTGGAGCATGTACTGCCATTCATGTTTCTTTTTCCTTTATGGTGGTTGTGTTTGTTTGGCAGTGGCAGACACAGGATCTGAACCGTTGACCTTGGTTGTTACAACAGCACACTCTAACCAACAGAGCTGACTGGCCAGTTCACTGTTTGCGTCACTGAAGGGAACTGTAGCCACCTTGACCTGGTTATTAGCTGTCTCTTATTGTCAAGGTTTTGTGCCTGTTGTGGAGAGAATACCACTTCCTTAAGTTGTTTAAAAGTTAGAAACGTAGGATGCATAAAAATACAGAAAACATCTCCTGTGTTCTTATTTATTTATTTATTTATTTTATTTTATTTTATTTTTTTGTAAAGATGACTGATAAGGGGATCTTAACCCCTGACTTGGTGTTGTCAGCACCACGCTCTCCCAAGTGATCTAACCAGCCATCCCTATATAGGGGTACAAACCTGTGGCCTTGGTGTTATCAGCACCACACTCTCCTGAGTGAGCCATGACCCAGCGCCTGTGTTCTTATTTATGTATGAAATTGTTGATGGGGCAGTTAAGTGCTAAAGGTATATTTTTATATACTGTATACAAGGGCAGACCCTGGTTTTCCGAGGTAATGGAAACATTAGAGAAGATGATGCTTCTACCAGCAATTACACTGCTGGGCGTATATATACGACAGACCCACGTAAGTGTAGCAGGCAACAGGTACAAGAGTGTGCATGACAGCCCCGTTGGTAGTAGTGAGACACTGGCAGCAGCCAGCTGTCCTCGAACAGAAAGTGGCTCCATAGTCACAGAGTCACAGAGTCAGAAGGAGAGAACCAGGTCACACATGTCAACATGAGACATCTCAGTCACCAGTGATGGTGTGAAGCAAGCTGGTCCCGAGAGGCTGTGGGGCGTAGGGGACCATCTACATAAAATGTTAAAGCACATGAGAAGAGGGCATCATATGTTATGTAGGGACATGGAAATCCATAGAGTAAAATGATGATTGTAGGTGTGATAAATACTAAATTCAGGGGAGTGGCTAACCAAAGAGGGGCAAAGAGGCTTCAGCTGCACTTGTGACGTTTTATTGCCCAGGTGGGGTTAGGCAAACTGTGTTATGTTTTTATTTTTTTAATTTTTATTATTTATTTATTTATTTATTTATTTTGGCACTGGCTGGCTGGGGATCTGTACCCTTGACCTTGGTGTTACAAGGCAATGCTCTAATCAACTGAGCTAGCTGGTCAGCCGTTATATTATTTACTTTGTCTTTTTGAATATGTGAGATATTTTGTAATTTAAAACAAAGACGAAAATAATGTCAAGGACGAATCTTCTAGACTTAAGAAATCAGACCAAGGCAAAAAGCTTAAAACCAATCTATATGAAGAATTTGGCAGGGAACTTAGCTTCTGTTCCCATCTAATAATAGAGGAAAAAAGGAGAGAGAGAGAGCACTGAGGGCAAAGAATGTCTTTGAGACACAAAAAACTTATTATTAAAAAACTATTTATAAAATTAAATTAATCCCAGTGCTGCCAATCTGTCTGAAAGTAGCTTTTATCAAATGACCATCTGGAAGATAAGCTATTTTTGCTTTTGTAGACTTATTAGTCTGTGTCTGTCTATACTTTTTGTTTTTTTTTTAATGATTGGTAAGGGGATCTTATCCCTTGACTTGGTGTTGTCAGCACCACACTCTCCCAAGTGAGCTAACCGGCCATCCCTATATAGGGATCCGAACCCTTGGCCTTGGTGATATCAGCACCACACTCTCCCAAGTGAATCACAGGCCAGCCCTTATACTTTTTAATAAAGTAAGGTTTTTTTTAAAAGCTCAAAAAGCCAATTTTATGTTTTTATTTCTCTTCACAATTGAACAGCTTGATCTGAGACTGAGGAAATCTAGGCACTCTTCCATTGCAGTATATAAATGTATAGAAGTGTCACTCCCGGAGCCTTGAGGTGCTGTTTTGCTTTGATGAAATAGCATTTCTTTCTCTCCATATGATGCCTTAGCACAGAAGGGGCATAAAGTTTGCCAGGCCCTGAGCTCAGGTCTGGCGAGACATGTGGCTGATGTCCAGCCTCAAGCAGGACTTCTCTGGTGGGTCACACTTACCTCTCGTGTTTGGCCTCAGGTACAGAAAAGCCCCGTGTTCCGGAGGGACGGTGCAGACATCCACTCCGACCTCTTTATTTCTATAGCTCAGGCTCTTCTTGGGGGGACGGCCAGAGCCCAGGGCCTGTACGAGACCATCAGCGTGACGGTAAGAGGCGTGAGAGCACTTTGGCCCCCCTGTAGCCTAGTGCTCTTTTTCTGAGGTGGGAAATGGCTGACACATGGCCTCGACCCTGTGAGCGACCAGCTGGGGTTTCAGAGGGGAGAAGAGACTTGGGGGAGGGCACTAGGAATTTGGGGCTATTCCTTGACTGTATAATCACCATGGAAAGCAGTTCTGGGCTGGCATCCACTCTGCTGGTCCCAGGTCCTGTGCCACAGCTGTGCTGTAGGGACATGTCGCCCTGGCATATGCCTTTTGCCCATGTTCACGCCCCGCGTCTGGCTATGAGAGCAGCCTCTGGTGCTGTATCCCAGCCCCTTAGCCACCTCTGTCTTCAGTCACAGTCACAGTGGACACTTCCTGGGCATCATCTGTACCTCCTACCCCCACCTCCCACTTCAGGCACTTCCCCGCTCCAGGTCACACCACTGTGTCACCTCAGGGCTCCCTGTGGCTTCTCAGTTTGGGGGCCATTCTCTGGGCTTCTCCAGTGGAGTCCAGCCTGCAGAGGCCAAGGTGCAGCCTCGGCTGTGCACCCCGTGTTGGCTTTTCCTGCTCCCAGGTCTGGCCTCTCCCGCTTCCTGGGCTCACCTCCCCAAACTCCTGCCTCCACATCCTAGGTGCAGGCTGTGCTCTGGGCAGACTCTAGCTTAACCAGTTTCCATGTGGTCGTTGGCAGACTTGTTCTAGAAATCTGAGTGGAAGTTCTTTTGGGGAGTTCCTCTCAAGGTTGTCCTCGTGCAGTAAAAGTGTTTTTTTTTTTTTTTAAAGGATGACCGGTAAGGGGATCTCAACCCTTGGCCTGGTGTTGTTAGCACCACGCTCAGCCAGTGAGCAAACCGGCCATCCCTATATAGGATCCGAACCCGTGGCCTTGGTGTTATCAGCACCGCACTCTCCCGAGTGAGCCACGGGCCGGCCTAGTAAAAGTGTTTTTATCTGGGCAGATGGGGACCTGGAAAAACCACAGATATCCTTTCTTTGTAGATCCCCCCGGGGATTCAGACAGACCAGAAGATTCGGATGAGTGGGAAAGGCATCCCCCGGATTAACAGCTACGGCTACGGAGACCACTACATTCACATCAAGATAAGAGTTCCAAAGTAAGCACCCACCTAGGCCATGGCCAGGCTTGCGAGACTGCTGTACACTCATTCACCTGTCAGGCCCTGCACCCAGCATTCCGGGCAGGGGGTCAGTGCCAAGCCAGACCACCTGGGTCTGCCCTAGCTCTGTCCCCATGAGCTTATGGCCTAGGAAGGTCCCTTCTCCCTTTAGTCAGGTGTGTCCCAAGTTCTCCATCTGTCAATTGGACGTAGTAGAAGGATCGACCTCATTGAGTTGGTGGGAGATTTGAATGAATGATACACAGGAAAGGCTTGGCTATCGCTGCTATTGTTGATTTTAGCATTGATGTTATTATTATGACGGTACTTCAAAAAGTTCATGGAAAGATTTGTATTACCTTTTAATTCTGTTTTTCCATGAACTTTCTCAAGTACCCTCATGCTCAGGAGCTTGCAGTCTGGTGGGAAAGACAGATCTATGAATGGGTCGGGAGAGGCGGTCTGGGCAGAGCACTTTAGGCACCCAGGGCAGGGCGTGTGTACTTCCTTGGGAGGTAACATTTTCAGTGCTCATCCTTTTCATTAGATTAATTAGATAATGTCTTACCTGCTTTACACATACACTTGCAAACCCCCCACTCCCCCGTAAACTGTATTGAGCACAGCCAGCAGGACAGTTGTTTAAACAACCTAGGGCATTTCAGGAGCTTTTCTTTACAGAAGCTTTGAGGTCATGGCCCTCAGGTTCTCATCACTGGCTCAGGGTGTGCGCCCCTGCTTGGGTCGGGGTCTTACATTTCCCACACTCTGTGAAGGGCCTATTGCATGTGTGTCCTTCAGAGAGCCGCCAGAGCAAGCTCTTGGCTGCTAACTGTGCTTGGTCCACAGGCGGCTGACGAGCCGGCAGCAGAGCCTGATCCTGAGCTACGCTGAGGATGAGACTGACGTGGAGGGGACGGTGAATGGTGTCACCCACACAAGTACCGGTAAGGGGTCTAGGGATGACAAGGTGGCACATGGGGGCCTTGGAGTCCCTTGAAGGGTAGATGATCCACAGCAGCACATGGGGTTTTCCATTTGCGGGTCTTCACAAAGCCTCTGAAAGGTCCCCAGTGAGTGCTTCTCTTCTCCTCTGTGCATGCCAGAGGCTTTCTGCTAGCCAGCTCTGTGCAGCACTGGGCTGGGTTCTGAGTTCTATCCTTGGTTCTGCCATTTGCCTCGTGACCTGGGGCAAAGCCTTCATGGGAGTCCTTGCTAAGGAGCAGATGGATCACCAACAGCCCTCCCCTATAAATACCTGTTTGTATCTACCCTGGGCACGACTTCCCCGGCCTCACTCCCTTGTGGGCTGCAGAACCTCACCTGAGAGCATTTCCATTAAAGCCTGCCTCAGACCCATTGCCTGGCTCCTTTTGTTACTTATCACCACCGATTTGAACTGGACACCCATCTTAAGAAGTTAGAAAAAAAAAGAACAAATTAGGGCCGGCCCGTGGCTCACTCGGTAGAGTGCGGTGCTGATAACACCAAGGCCCCGGGTTCGGATCCCATATAGGGATGGCCGGTTCGCTCACTGGCTGAGCGTGGTGCTGACAACACCAAGTCAAGGGTTAAGATCCCCTTACCGGTCATCTTTTTAAAAAAAAAAAAAAAAAGGAGCAGATGGATTGGAAGGGTTGGTGCATTCCTGACCCGGAGTGCTTTGCCAGCATTTCAGAGGGTCTGTAAACAGCAGCAACCGCAGCAGTAGAAACCATAATCAGAGGACTCGATCTGCCTTTTTAGAGCAGGGCTAACTCTAAATTCATCTGGCAGTGAACAGATATGCATTATTTACCCAGCTCAAATGTCACGCTCTGTCAGGGGAGAGTAGTTGAATATTAGAGATTTGATACAGAATGCCTGCAGGTGGGAGCTCAGGTGATCACAGCTGCAGCCTTTCTTTCCTGGAGGGCCTCTGTTGACTGGGACCCTGCTCAGGTCAGGACAGGCTATGCCCAGGGGTCATTGGCTCAGGCTGCACATGTCCTCCTCATTGCATAATTCTGTTTTTGTCTGGATCCTGGATGGAGTTTTCAGAACCTGAATGGCCTTTGATTAATGTATGGTAACCCACAACAGGTGTTCAGAGGGCACTTATTTTAATGGTTTGCTACATACACTTTTCTCTTTTATTCTTGTTAAATCTCTTGAACTAAAAAAGATATGCTCATAGTGAGAGTAATTATTCCACAAAACTCTAATCGTGCACCTCTAGCTTCTCCTTCCTGAAACTCAGATGTTTGTATAGTCACATAACATGTGAGATTTGTTCTGCAGACAGTTGTCCTTCCCTCCTCCTGCCTGCCAGGGGACTTTGAGGTCTGCTAGGACTAAGCCCTGGGCATGGGTGTTTTTCACTCTATTAGAAAGTTGGGTATTAGTGGTCGTTGTTTTAAACCCCTCTCTGATAGCTTAGGTTGAGAATTGATTATGCAGCCAGTTTGTAAGTATCCACAGAATCTTCATTATTTTCATGGTTCCTTGTCCTGGTAGCATCCCTCATTCAGCCAGGATTTATTGGGGGCCTCCTGAATGCCAGATACTCTTCCTTTTAAAATTTGTAATGACATAATTTTGTTGAGAATAGCTTAACCTTAATATATACATTGGATGCATTTCTGAAAAGTTGCTTATAAAATGAGATGGGTATATCTAATTATATTTCTTTCTACCCATATCTGTTGTCATTTTCAGTGATGTATTCCAATGGGAAATTTGGCTCCCAGACAAGATTTTGTAAATGGCATTTAAGATTTTAGAATTAATTTCAAAGAATATGCTGTCAGTCTGCTGCCTGGATGTGACTAAGCTTCTCATACTATGAAGAAAGTTACTTTTGCAATCCACATATGAACATACGACAGTACCTATAATTCCCATTTCCTGACAACTTCACCAGCAGTGGCTTTTATTTATTTAAGTATACCCGGAATCTCTCATATATCAAGCATTCAAAAAGACTGTGGTTATACTGAAAGCATATATCAGTGCTGTATTCCTGTATCTGTGGTTTATGGGATAAAAGCACACTCATGTCACATTTCAGTAGCCTTCTAAGTGCATGTGAGTTAGAGAGGCATTAGAGACTGGTAAGCATGTGCAGGTACAAATGGATTCCTGGGTGTCTTTGAAGACTTTCTTTGATTTTAGGAGCTGGGTACATGGAAGGCATTTGTCCTATATACAGTTCTTTAGCCTAAACCCTAAATAAACAGCCTAAATATTTTGATGAGTTTAGTATCTATTTTTGTTCCCTTATGCAGCTGTTGAAAATCCTAATAGCCACCCCTAGTCTCTTTTCTGGTCTGTGAACCAGAAAGACCACAGGGTGGTCAGGGACTCTCAGCACTCAGGGCTCAGTGGCTGAAATTCTTCAGCAGGGTGGGAGGCGGTCCCGAGCCTGTGTGAGTCAGGCTGTGCAGGTCTGCACCTGCACCTGCGGGGTGGCCCATTCCTCAGAAGCAGATGCTGGAATCTCGTGGCCTTTGTTCCTGCACACAAAAATTTTCATTGAGCATTTGCCATGTGCTGAGAAGTGATACACAGAGAGGCGGGGTCCCCTCCCTCGGCAAATGTACAGTACAGTGGAGGAAGGCAGGATGGCACTGGAAAGAATTTCACCTACAGATAAGCACTAGATCTTTCTTACAACACCACGAGTTGTGTAACCATGGAGAAAACACTTTGGCCCCCAAAGGTAATACAGAGTCATGGAAAGAATGTTATCTAGTCTGTCTTCCCCTGGCCTCACCCTATAAACAGCCATGGAACAACTCTGATGGGGATCCCTGCCCGGAGTAAACCAGAACATTTCTTCTTTGTCCCTGGAGTGGTGCCCAGTGCCTGGCACAAGGTTGGCTCGTGGTAAACATTGGCTGCGTTTATCTAAATGTTCTTCCTAACCAGGGGCTAGGAAGTGCTCTGCGGGAGAGATGAGCATGTACAGTGTGACAGGAGGAGTCCTGGGACCTGGTTTGACCTATGCATGTGGTTGGACCAGTAACACCTCTCCTTCATGGTCACCATCTGAAGACACAGACTAGAAATGCTGGGCAGTGCCCTTTCAGCTGGAGTGGACTTCCATGGGGCAGTTCCTGTTTATTCTGAAGTGCAAACAGTATATATACCAGCTCTATTTAAAGGTGCTTTGGAAGTAACATGCTCATGTTTGTATCTTCTAATGGACCAGAGGTCACTTGAGTGCCCAGGACATCCTGTAAGGACACGTTTCTACTTCTACCCCAAGGTAGTCCTCAGAAATCAGGAATTGGAGAGAGAGGAAAGGGATGTATGTGTGGACTTCACTGTCTATGTACAGCAGCTCACAGCTGATCACTGACATTTGGTTTAGAATTTCAAAGTTAGTACTTCATATCCTTTGATGTCCCTGCCACTAAACCTTATTCTTAAAGGAGCCCATACCCCTTTTTTAAAAAAAAGTTTAAATAGAGGGAGAGGTAAGAAGAATTTCTGGGTGTATGTCTGTGTTTTGTTGGTGTTGTGCTCTCTGAACCACTTATCAGCTAATCAAGTGCTTGCGTTAGCTCTCCCAGACGGCTCCAGTACAACCATGGCCGTGGAGCACAAATCACTTCTTGCCCCCAGGCAACAAGGACAACAGAGTTGGGGATGGGGGTGGCAGCAGAGCCCCAGCTCTGTCATTATTAGCTGTGAAGACGTACAAATTACTTTATTTCTCTGGCCCTCAGTTTCCTCACCTGTAAATTGGAGGTAATAGTAGTACTGCTTCACAGGGTTTTTATATGATTGAATGAGATCACATGGGTAACATGTTAGATGCTGCATCAGCAGAAACTCATAGTATGACACCCTCACACACACACTGAAGTTTGCTATCCCCTTACCAAGGACAGGCAGAATTTAAAACTCCTGCTCTCCTTTGTCTCAGGAGGCTGAAGAATGATGGGAAACTTCTGTTTGTGATTCCGTTGTATTAGAAGAGTCCTTTTTGTTATTTAGGCCTTTATGTTATTAAAGGAAAGGGGGGCTGGCCAGTTGGCTTACTTGGTTAGAGCACAGTGTTGTAACCCCAAGGTCAAGAGTTCAGATCCCCCTACTGGCCAGCTGCCAAAGAATAAAGAAAAACAGATCGGGGGATGGGAAGGTTTGAGGGAGGGCACACCAAGAAGTGGGGTGCACCTCGTGGGGCTCAGAGGTATTGTGCATGGCCCAGGTCCTTGTCTGTCGCATCCTGGAATGTGAACATCGCCCCAGCAGCCTTGGCAATTGCCCAGATGTTGTTCAGCATGTCCTTGCTCCAGTCGCTGTTGCTTCTCTGAAGACACACCTGTGCTCAAATATGCCGGGTCCTAGAGGCATACACAGCAGAGGACCCTACCCCACTCTGCCCCACTCTGCTTGGGGACCTGTTACCCCAAGCTTTGGGCCTCTCACTAATGAAGGCATTGACTGACTGAGACTATCTGGGGGACAGGACCATTATTTACCTATTTATTTATTTTTGGCGGCTGGCCAACAGGGATCTGAACCCTTGACCTTGGTGCTATGACACTGTGCTCTAACCAACTGAGCTAACTGGCCAGCCCCATTCTTTACTCTGTTATGCACTGCACATGGCATTAAAAATGTGCCCTGTGGTGTAAAATGTTGAGTACAGGCCTGTACTCTTAGTTTGCCTCCTTGCCTCGTGGTTGGCAAATCTTTAAAACAATGCATTTGTGCAGCCAAGTTCCTCTAGGTGTCTCAGCCTGGGCCCTGAAGAAGCAGCATAGGAGCTTGCCTTTATCTGGAGCATGTAGGCCTAGGCACCCAGGTGGGAGCGCTTGTTCAGCAGAATGCAGGCTCCTCGCTGGTGTTGTGACAGACGAGTATGGAATCTGGTCAGTTGACTTAGAAATGGGATCTTTTCTTGGTGGGCATGATTTTCCTTCTTCTGGCCAATAGCATGGTGGTTAAGAGCTGAGGCTTTGAAGTCAGACTGCTTAGGTTTGTTTTTTTTTTTTTTTAGACTGCTTAGGTTCGAACTCAGTTATCCCTCCTACTTGTGACCTTGGATAAACTAACCTTCTGTGCCTCCATTCTTTTGTTGTGGTTTTTTATTTTTTTATTTTTTTATTTTTATTTATTTTTTTATTTTTATTTTTTTAAAAGATGACCGGTAAGGGGATCTTAACCCTTGGATCGGTGTTGTCAGCACCACCCTCACCAAAGTGAGCAACTGGCCATCCCTATATGGGATCCGAACCCGCGGCCTTGGTGTTATCAGCACCACACTCTCCCGAGTGAGCCACGGGCCGGCCCCCTTGTGGTTTTTTAATCTGAAATTTACCTGAAGGCTCTTCTAAGGATTGAATGAGCTAATGTGTGCAAACTGCGTGGCCTGGCATGGAAGGCATCTGGCACTTTCCCATATTTTTGTTACTGTCATTCTGATCAGAGACAGCTGGTCATTGTCCGTCCCTGTTTCTTGTTCCTCTACTGTGGGTTCATGACTCAAAGGCAGTTGGGTGCCCTCAGGCTCTGCATGGCATGTTCTCCTCAGTTATGTGAAAAGTGGGGCAGCTCGGCCAACTTGGAAGTGGCCCCCTCTTCTTAGGGTGGCATGTGGTCACTCCTGGAGTGCCATGCCATTGGGTGGCCAGGCGTGGGTAGGCGGGGGACCGGGGAGTGATGCGTGGAGGCATGTTCCCCTGACCTCAGTTCTTTCCACTGTTTGTGCCCAGGTGGCAGCACCATGGATAGCTCCGCAGGAAGCAAGGCTAGGCACGAGGCTGGGGAGGACAAGGAGGGATTCCTTTCCAAACTTAAGAAAATGTTTACCTCCTGATAGCCCAGCTGAGGTAGGAAACCCCTTGAGGTTTTTCCCCTTTGTTCCCCTCTGTGAAGTAGTCCCTGTTTTTTCTCACTTTAATCAATATCCCTGTCCCCACAGTGGAGTTGGAAGAGGTGCCATCCCACGGCGTGGCAAGTCTGGCTCTGCTCAGAGCCAAACCTCTCAGCCCGTGGAAGCACAGGCATGGCAGTTGGCCCATAGCACAGGGCTGACCCAGGCCTCAGTGGCCAGCCTTTTGCTATGTCCCCTTCCTAGAAAGGTTGCACTTTGGGGGCGGCTTCACACCCTTTCTGTACCAGTTCCTGGGGCTCTGTGTCCCTCAGCGGTGGGACCAGCTTGCCCACAGTCATGGAGCAAATAGTAGCAGAGCCAGGCCTAGAACTCAGATCTCAATTTCCTGCCTGGGCAGCGTGAGACATGTACACCTGGGGGCTGCTGCCAGAAGGGGTACTTGCTTCCCGTGATGTCTGGGGACCCACTTTTACTTGTGCTTGTCCCTGGTGGCTGGGGCTCTGCTTTTCCCTTGGCACAGCTACTTTCCAGAGATCAGCAGAAGCTGTCCCACAGGGATATGCTCTGTTGGGATGCCAAGTGAAATGTACCTGTTTGTCTCCTTGGCTCAGGAAAACGATCCGCTGGAAACTAGGCCGGGAGCAGCAGCCCCTCCTTGTGGCCAGGGCACCTGGGAGACAGGAGGATTCCAGAACAGCACTGAGCCCCCGCCTGCAGAGACCTCTGGACTGCCTTGGCAGCAGCAAAATCGTGACAACACATCTCTCCACGGAAAGGTCACGGTGGACAGCCCCTGGGCAGTAAGATGGAGCACCCTGAGGGCTGGTAGAAGTTTCCTTTCCACGGGTAGGTGACATGGCTTCTCTGGCTCAGGCAGAGTAAGACAGCTGGACACTTCTTGCAGCAGTAAAACTCTAATTTGGAATAGAATGTGATGGAGATCTTAGTTAAAGAATTAAAGGCCATGCTTACAGCTTAAAAATGAAGCCTTAAGCTGCACTGAGTTCTGAAGTGATTAATTTCCCTCTCAGCACACTTCCAGGAGGTTCAGGGATGAGTCCTTCCTGACAGGTCATCTTCACCAGGAGCCCGGGGATTGCACGCCCCCCTAGCGCTGTCCTCCCCACCTCAGCCCCTGCTGAGATGTCAGTGGCTCCTCTCAGAGTTTGTTTTTAATTCCCAAAGGTACCAAGCAACTGCAGAGTGGGTGCTTGGGGTCTGGGGAGGCACATACAAAGGACCAGAGGGTCCCTGGAAGTCCCGCTCCTGAGCACAAGGGTGGTGACACTTGTCTGGACAGTCCTTCTTCCCACCCCACTAGGATGGCCGCTTGGGCCCAACTGTTGAGTTTTGTTGTTAGCTGGTGTGGTGGGACTCCTGCCCTTCCGCTGAGCCACAGCCTGCCGCAGCCACCATGCCAGGCAGACCTCACCTGCCTCGGCACTCGGAGCCCTGCCACTGTTGCCAGCCAGGGGCTTGGTTCTCCCCACATACACTGTTGACATCCATTTTACAAAGTGTGTTTAAACTGTTCTATGCTAATCGCCATCTTTTCCTGTGTAAATGTTTGTTCAGAAAAGACAAGCACAGTCTGAGCAGTTGAAGGTTCCCCACCGTTCAGCCAGAGCAAACACCCTGCTCCCCCAGCCTCTGCTGCTAGCATGTTGCGGTTTCCGTGTGCTTCAAGATCCTCGAGCTATCATAAGACAGGTTAATGAAGGACACTTTGCAGTAGTTTCCTTTTTGTTTTCCTTTATAATTTACTAAATAAAGCATCTATTAGTGTCCAATTTAAGAATGTAAAATGATTCTGTATCAATGTAAATAAGATTATCTACTGCAAAAAGATATTTAAAACCTAAATTGTGGTCATTTTTTAGAGCTCAAACAGCCTTCTACAGATGGCTTAGCAGGTGGGGCATATGGTTGTGCCCTCAGCGGCCTCATGCATATAGTTGTGCCCTCCTGGAGCATGCGCGCACTGATGCCCCAAGCCCAGCCCCCAGAGCAGGGTGCTGGCCGTGAGACGACATCCTGATGTGACCGAATGTTCTTGAATCTGGTTGTGACTTTTCCTCTTGGAACCTGTGGTGTGGCCACACTGGGTCCCTACATATCACCAGCTCCCTTACTAGCCGTCTTTTCCTTCCATATTTTAAGTCTTTGCATCTTTTTACATTCAACTTTTTATTATAGTTTAACTAGAGATTGGGAAAGAGCTGATGGACAAATAAGGCTCAACAGTGACTTTCTATTATTTTCAGATGCTTCCCAGTGCTTCATTAAACAAAATCCTCATGATCTGTGTGCTGTGAACACTTGGTACAGGCCAAGCCCTACTCCAGATCATGGGCACACAGCGGTGGGGAGTTAGACAGTGTCTCATGAATACTCAGTATGGGTCAGGCACTATTCCAGATCCTGGGCACACAGCGGTGGGAGCTAGACAGCATCTCATGAACACTTAGGCTTATTATTCCTGGAGAAATCAGCCTTAGTCTTATTCATGCCCTGTCCTTTGAAAGCAGAAGTCCAGAGAAAGTTTCTGGGTGAGAAAGGTGGGTTTTCTTGCCCGGAAGACACTTGTGCTGTCTGTGCTGAGGCCTCCTTCCTTCAGGAGGTCAGCAGGTGGCCATGCAACCTGTGTAGAATGAAGTGCCACTTCAGGGCTGGGGCCCAGGTTATTTCCACACATGGCTCCTGAGGCATTCATTATAGACATCTCTGCAGCCTCTCAGTTGGAGCTGGGGTGTAAGATAACGTAAAAGTGTCTCTCAGCCCCTGAGCCTTTGGGGATTGAGAATAAGGAGAAAGACAGATGGGTTTTGAGCATTTGCTGAAATAAAACGAGGAGGGACCAGGTGCGGTTGTGGTGTGGGTGATGAGGCCAGCTCAGGTATTGGACCTCAGTTGCAGCCCACCTCAGGCCTCTGCTCTGTTTCCAGCCCAAGCCACCCTCTTCACAGTCCTTTGGGTCTTGGTGAACCCCCCTCAACATGCAAGAATCCTCTCCAGACCCACAAGCCTCCCAGCCGCCCCTATGCCCAGGACCGCCCTTGCTCAGAACCCAGTGCCATTGAGGAGCCGGCACTGATTATGGATCATGGCAACCATGATGGCTTTTGCAGAAGGCATATGTACACAGTCATGTTTGCTAATCAACTGTATTAGTCCATTTCTGTTGCTTATAGGAAAATCCCTGGAACAGGGTAATTTGTAAGGAAACAAAATTTATTGCTTACAGTTTCAGAGGCTGGGAGGTCCAAAGTTCAGGGAACACACCTGGTGAAGGCCTCAGTGGCAGTGATGGTGACCCAGGGTCTCATAAGGCCGAAATGGCAGGGCAGAGAGAGAGAGAGCTCTTCATGTGCTCTCCTTTTAAAGCCCTCAGAACCACGCCCATGACCACCATTAAACAATTCACTAGGGCATGGTCTTCACAATCTAATCACCTCTTCAAGGTCCCACCTTTCAATTACAATAATATGATTTCCCACCCACCTGAGGGAAACTTTGGGGAGCCAGTCAGTCCTCTGCATCAACATTGTTAAATCTGTACTAGTTAAAATCTCTTTTAACTAGTTCTGCTTATTTGGTATGACCCTCTTAAAGGGTCACAAATGGGCCAATAAGAACTTTGCATAAAAAAGCAAAAGAGGGGGGGCGGCCCATGGCTCACTTGGGAGAGTGTGGTGCTGATAACACCAAGGCCACAGGTACAGATCTCTATATAGGGATGGCTGGTTAGCTCAACACCAAGTCAAGGGTTAAGAACCCCTTACTGGTCATCTTTTTAAAAAATAAAATAAAAATAAACAACAAAAAAAGCAAAGTGGGTCCAAAGTTACATGTTGGAGGGCATGGTCTGCAGCCTCAGCACCCAGGAGACAGTAAGGAGTGGTGGAGTCTGTGGCTGCTTCCTTTAAGGGACAGGTACTTTTCAGCCAGCAAGAAGCCTTCAGGAATTCAGACCTCGTGCTGCAAGGTCTTCTGGGAGTCCAGATTTTTATGTGTGGATTTTAGCTACCTCATCTTTCTGGTAACAGCTTTATTGAAATATTCACATACCATGCAGTTCATCCATTTAAAGTGTACAATCCAGTGGTTGTGGGGTTTTTGTTTTTGTTTTTGGCAACTGGCAAGTACAGGGATTGAATCCTGGACCCTGGTGTTACCAACACTATGTTCTCACCAACTGAGCTAACTGGCCAACCCCAATGGGTTTTAGTGCACACTTGTGCAAACATCATCACAATCAATTTTAGAACATTTTTATCGTCCCCCAAAGAAACTCTTGACCCATTAATAGTCACTTTCGATTCCCCCTCAAGCCCTCCAATCTCTGGTAATCATTAACAGGCTGTCAATGAATTCGCCTATTCTGGACATTTCATGTAAATGGAATCACACAACATGTAGTCTGGTGTGTCTGGCTGCTTTCACTTAGCATCACATTTTTGAGGTTCACCCGTGTTGTAGCACGTGTCAGTATTTCATTCCTTTTTATGGTTGAGTAATAGCCTCATATGGATAGGCCACATTTTTTCATGTGTTCAACTGCTGATAGACATCCAGGTGGTTTCCATTTTGGGGCTATTATGAATAATGCTGCTGTGGATGTTAGCCAGGATGAGATAGTAAAAAAACGGCATGATGGTGGTTACTTAACACAAGCCCACACACGTGTTAAAATTCATAGAGCTGCCTTGCAATCTCAGGCGAAAGACTGTTCTCTGGCCTCCATCCACCTCCTCTAAAGTGAGCAGGTAAAGGGCTGACCTGTGCCACAAGCACAGCCAGGTTTTGACTCCCTTGGCCTTCTCTCCTACCCTTTGCTGCAGGCAGCGTCATGGCCCTACAGCTCTACCACCTTCCTTCATTTCTTCTTTTTTTGGGGGGGTGGGGCTGGCTGGTATGGGGACCCAAACACCTGACCACTGTGCTCTAACCAAGCAATCTGCCAGTTCATTTTCTTTTTTCCAACCTGTGTTGAAGGTTGTTTCCATACTGGCTGCAGCGTAGGGCAGGACCCTCCCCTCCCCGAGTCTGTTCCCAACTCAAAGGAATACGCAGGTGGCCTCATGAGCTCTTTGCAGATGATGGGAGTGTGTGCAGCAATACCAGAGCTATTGCTCTTGGCGGCCGCCTGGGGTTCTTCTCTGAATCCTGTGCTATGTTCCCTGTCTGTCTGTGAATGAATTTCAGGTGTAGTAGGAGCAGAGGTGCTGATCAGGGCCACTCTCCTGGGCCAAGGTTGGAATGCTTCGTTTCATACTTGTTGGACTAAACTTAAAATGTTTACTGGGGGCTGGCCAGTTTGCTCAGTTGGTTGGAGTGTGGTATTGATAACACCAAGGTCAAGTGTTTGGATCCCCGTACCGGCCAGCCGCCAAAAACAAAAAAAATGCTTCCAAGTTGCTCGTCTTCACGGTCACCAAATGATCCCTTCAGCCACCACTTCACTGCCCCCTACCATGTCCCCTTTACTGCAGGGGGAGGGAGACTGGGCCCTGCCCCAGCCACTTGATGCTTCCTGCTAGAAGTGTCATGCTGTGGGTACCCCAGCAGCTGCCACTGCAACCCAAGTCCCTGAAACAAAGCCCTTTTCTTTGGAAGCCATCTGTAAGAACAGTGGCTTTATTTCAAAAATATTTTTTTTGTAACACAAGAAAGAATGATTGTGCCCCTGCATCCCCCGTCCCCCCAGCTCAGGACTTCGAGGTGGGCAGGTCACAGCCAGGCAAAGTCCCCTTTGTGCTGCTCCAGCCACTGGTCCAGCGTCTGGGCCTTGGGGTTGAGTCTCAGGGTCAGCTCGATGTCACGGTTGGGCTTCAGGGCATAGAAGCGGAACATGTTGGCCAGGTCCTGGGCCCCAGGGAAGCTGAGCTTCTCGTAATCTTCAGGAGTCATCTGGAAGCAGAGGAGGCCTGTCATCTTCGGCATCTCTCCAGTGCCCCAAGGAGGTGAGTGGGGGGAGGCCGGGTGGGCTTGGGGTCTCCCAGCCACTACACCCAGAGCCACTGTTGGCATCTTGGTCACTGACCAAGGTCCTCACTACAAAGTCATCTGAAAACTTTGTACTAAAAGATGAAAGTTTGGAAACCACTGTTCCTGTGAGCTACCTGACATTCTAGGTTGGCTTAAAGGCTGTTCGTTTAAGGTCATGAGATGACAACTCAGTTCCTTCCAAATGAGAAATCTGTTTGCGGTGTCACTTTCTTGCTCAAAAACCAAAGCTATGTTCCCCTTTCCCTTCTGAACTGAGTCTTAACTCCTCAGATCTCCCCAGGCCAAACTTACCGGCCTCCCTCCTTGGCCCCCACTTTAAGCCACCTGCCAGAGAGAGCTTGGCAAGCCCTGCATCACCCTACCTTGCCGTGGGTGGCTCTTGCTGTCCCTTCTTCCTGGAAACCTTTCTCTCTACTTGGTCAAAACGCCTAAGCCAGAAATCTCACTCTGTGGACACACTTAGATCCCAGGAACAGCACAACATAAATGCTAACAATTAACAAATGAGTTTAGATTTACCTTCCTCGGAGCGGTGGGGCAGCCCTAGATACTCCTTCCCTACAACCCAAGAAGCCACTGTGGGAGTTCCAAAAACCTGACCGAGGTGGCCTGGACATTCCCTCCGGGGAAGAGGGAGGAGCCCACCTTGGCGTCACGCACAGGCTTGCTGGTATGCCTGGTGAGCAGTGCGGCATACTCGGCCACCGTGTGCCTGCAGGTGCTGAGCCCGATGTCCTGGCCCATGTATTCTTCTGGTGTCTTCAGTAGGCTGAGCACCACGGGACCCAGGTCGGTCACGGCCATGCCATCCATGGGAATGTCGCCCATGGGCAGGTCTGTGGGGACAGAGAGAG